ACTTGGAACATTTGAGCGTCATGCCGTAAAGGGGCACTGCCATCTGACTGCAATTAAAACCAAAAGACTGAAACAAAACAAAACACTTTGCTCATGAACACAAACGTACAAAGGAAAGGGAAAGAGAAGCCAAAAGAAAGAAAGAACAAAGGAAAGAAAGAAGAAAAGGGAACCAACCAACCATACCCAGTTTGAAAAGAAAAATGAAAGACAGGCAGGAATAAAATTCTCTCATCTGTACCACTCCAGATGCGGGCAATGGGAAAATGTATGACTTGGAGGCATTGTTGGTGCCACTGGATAGGGTGGAACTGTGTTGGTGAAAGTTTTACCAGATTCAGGGTGTCTCTCTCTGGCACCCACGGAAGAGAAACCAGTACTGCTCTCCCAATCTTCACTTCCTTCTTTTGGTTTGTTTTTTTGAGAAATTGCTCTTTTTCCCTCTTGGCCTTTTTGCTCCAAAACAAAAAACGGTGGCAGGGTTGTACAGTAGAAGGCAAGAAGTAGGGCTGTGGGGACTACTTAGCCTGTTTCCCAAAGGATAACACGTTTCCTCCAGTGGCCCTTGTGTGCAAGTCCTCACCTCGGTGGAGACACCCATAACATAGAATCATTTGTTCATTTGAGTTGAAAGGGACCTTTGAAGGCCATCTAGTCCAACTCCCCTGCGATGAACAGGGATACCTACAGCTAGATCAGGGTGCTCAGAGCCCCATCCAGCTTGACTCTGAATATCTCTTGGGACATGACATCCACCATCTCTCTGGGCAAACTGTGCCAGTGCCTTTTTGTAAAAAACATTTTTCTTTTTGGCAGCTGACAACACCAGGAGATAAGGTACTCTTTGGTGGCTTCATCTATGACTAAGAGCATGCACATACAACAGCTGCATATGTCCTTGAAATTAGGGGTGTTTTGTCAGACCATCAGTTTGCTCTTGGAGAAGCCCTATGAGTTTTAAACTCAGGAGAGTGGACGCACTGACTACTTTTGAGATATTTCTCCTCTCAAATCTTGTTTTGGAGCTGAAAATATCTTTGGAATGAACCCTGAGACTTGTTCGTGTAGGTTGCTCCCTCTTTCTGGAGGAGATCAATCATAGAGACAGGCTGTTGTGGGCTGCTGGTACATAATGTATTGAGGACTTAGGGAAGGGTATGTCCACAGTTTTTAGATGTTGATACGCATTAACAGCCAGTTGTTACTTGGGAGCTTAGAAGCCACACGAGCCAATGACTGGCCCTTTTTGTTTCCAGAATTTACTACTTTTCACTCACTGCCTGGTTTGCACAGATCCATGCTGCCCATATCAGATCTGGCATAGAAAATGGGCAGGAGACTGCAAAACATCCTACAGACCTACACACAGTGCCTGATATCAGAGATGCATCACTGATGGTAGCATGTCTATCATTCCTAGGTGATGGCAGTCAAGTTCATGATGTTTGGAAGTACCAGACCTTGGGTTTTTACAGCTGGGAGAGAGATTAAGAAACTTAGCTGATGGTTTCCTAACATTTATGGCTTTGTGTTCAGTCTCACTGCAAAAAGAACACAACTATGAACACCAACACAGCATTATCAGTGTTCCTAGTGGTCATTGAGCTTAATTTAATGGCTATTCATTGTCTTTGAATTAGTTACAGTGACATAAGCCATCACTGCCTTCCAAAATAAGGACTCATAACTAAGATGTCTCACAGCATCTTTCAGCCTTGAGACACAGAGAAAATTAGTTCCCGTGTCAATAAATTCCTATCTTCCAGGCAGAATGGTGTAAATCCAGTGGCTGAACTAAAGATAAAGTGGGTCTTCAGAGGCATTAAGTGCATGACCCTTAAAAAAAAACATGGTCCATCCCCAGACCTATAAGCCACAAAGAACAGATAAGCAGAGAGACAGAGAGAGGCAGAGATAGGCAGCAAAAAGAAAATAGATTGATTCAAGGAATTTGATGGAAAACTGTACCAGAGAAACATGAATGACACTGAATCACAAAGAACCAGCCAAAAGACCACTATAACACACAACTGTAATTGCTGTTGGGTGCATTTATGCAGAAAGTTGTAAGCAGTAGGCATAGATGTGGGTACATTTGTATTCTAATTCGTTCTACTCTGGGGCTTGAGGTTGTTAATATACTGAATTTCCATGCTAGGTTTATATTGGTGCATGTATGTATGATAGGGTAGCTAATGGAACAACCACAATGAATAATGCATTCATTTAATTTAGCTTTTTTTTCCTCTTAAGTATCCACGAACAACTCACAGACTGTGTGTACTGTGGAGCCTGGACTTTGCTACTAGATATTGAACAGTGCTTTACACCACGTACAGCCCATGTTTCCAACATGAAACGCTTCCAGATGAAGGGCAATCCAAATCTGTCCCTATTTTAATATAGTCATTATCTTCCCAATTATTTGTCTTGGCACTAACCATCCAGCTCTGCCATACCCCAGCAACACACGCAGAGAATGTTTCACACAAGGTGTTGGAGCAAACTTTCTCAAGTCAATCAGCAGAAGGATAAAAGAAGTAAAGCTCCTCTAAGGGACAAGTTGGGAAAACTAAACATGGCTCCTGTCTCTTTCCAATGGCTACAAAGGAAGCCTGGGGAGATTAAACTCAGCAGGCTAAAATTTGTGAATACACCCTATAGTCTCATTCTTCTTCCCTGACTGCATAAGCACACAAATGCTTCTGGAATAAACGTTGGCTGAATAAATTTAAAATTCATTTTAAAGGTCCCTGCATCCAGCATGAAAACATTTGCTTTTAGTAGCACTCATGTCAACAAGACTAAAGATGCTATTGGTGCAGCTGACTGCAGAAGGATGGTCAACCTTGGGGAAATACTGGAGCACTGCAAGCAGGTATTTGCTGAGAACCTCTTGCAAGGGTTTTCTCCCCATCTCTAGCACAGGATATTTGCCTGGAAAGGATTTGGGGCATCCATGTGCAATGTGCAAGCTCTCCGTGTAACCACATCTACCTCTCCATAGCCTCGTTTTCTGATATATGTATAAAGATATTTCGGATGAATGCCTTTAGAAAGTCAAAGTTTCATGACATCAGTAATCACAACGATTTCCTCTGTTAACTATAGGGCAAGACTTATTGTGTCTCAGGTATTATTTTGCAGAAGCTGTTAACGCTACTTTATTAATGACAACCAGTCTGCGGTATATGTGCTGGGCTCCTCATTCAACAGGTCAATTTCCCCTCCTTTTTTGGGGGGACTTCCCTATTTTATTTTATTTTTTTTTCCAACACTGAACCATACTTCTTGCCTCTGCTAAAGGAAACACAACGTTTCTTTATACCATCTCCTCAGATCCAAACATGTCCGAGGCCATGACTCAGTCTGATTATCTTCAGATCTACCCTCCAACACGGTTCCCAAGCCCAGGCCAGAAGTGGCTAGCTAAAGGGAGGGAGCATCGGGGATCCCAAAAGCATCCCCCCAATCTCAGCGGGTGCACTTGGAAAGGAGAACAAAATCACTTAGCACAGAGAAGGCTTAAAAGTGCTGCACACACACACACGGACATGAAAGGGGGGAAAAAAGAGAAAAGAAAGAAAAAACAAAGAACATCAGAAAAAGGACTTTTTTTCTTTTTCTTTTTTTTTTTTTGCTTTGTTGGCTTTGTTGTCAAAGTATAACTGTGAGTATGATCAATAACCAGCTGATAGGTATTAAATAAGATCCTTCTGTGTGCAGTTTAGCTTAAAGAGGGACAGACTGATAAGCAGCAACTCGCTGCTCTGCTAATCCAATAAATGATTTATTTCAGCATTGACTTTCCAGTGTAATTACCTTTCTGTGGACTCTGCCTGCAGTTAAGGTATTTTCTCGAGTTCTCTTTGTTAAAAAGGCATCAGCCAGAATAAAGCATTTCCTTGTTAGTGGTTGCTTAAAGCAATGCAATAAGGTCACTTACTCACATATATATTTAACCCAGCAATAACACATACCACTGATCACCCAAAAGGACTTAATTTTCCTCTTAGAATAAATATCTTATTTAGGCATCAAGATTCCTTCCTCACTGTACCAAAGAACCATACCATTTGGCCAGGTCAACACTGTAGATTAAATGTGAGCCTTCCCTTGTTCCTTCTTCTCTGGCTAGATAAGAGCTTGCTTCTGCTCTCAGTTTTGATGTCATCACTAAATAGATGCATTGTCAATAGTGTGGAGGTTAGCCAAGGGAGGGCCTTGTGTGGTTGCTGCCATACTGGCTGCTGTCAAGAGCTGTGGAATAAACTCCTCCATTACACTACAGAGTAAACCACTCAGCACCAGACCTGGGCTTCAGGGATGGAAGTTTGAGTGGTGACTGTGGAAAAGATAGAAAATTTCAGGAGGTAACAGAATTTCTTCTTGCAGAAGAGATACCTTTCTCTACTGACCACTCATATACTAATTTGTTCACTTGTACACCTTCAAAACCCTTTCCTTCAAAGCACTGTGTACCTTTGTCATCCCTCACCCATCTGACAGCTGTTAGATGCAACCCTGCTGTCACACAGCCCATGCCATGTGCCAAACTCAGCAATGACACATCCCTCTCTGAACCAATTAATTCTCCAGGAGTTACTGAAAAGAATTACTTTTTCCTATATTTTGGAAGAATATGTCAGTTTGGGATGAAGCCTTTTACTTTCTTTTTCATATATTTTGGAAGAATATGTCAGTTTGGGATGAAGCCTTTTTAACAAAGAGCTGAATTCAATCTCTCTCTATATCAGCAAGGTACTGCTTCTTGTTTTGTTGTTTTGTTTTTTGACTCTGCGCTGAATAACAAGGCAGAAATATTAATCCATGGATTTCTCTGTCCATTTCGTTTGTTCCATTTTGTTTAAAACTGCTTTTGCTTCTTTCCATCTCCAATCTCTCTCTGTATTTCTCACCTGGTTATTGACCACAACCTTGGTTTTCTTTTTTGTTGTTTTTTGTTTTTATTCTTTACTTAGATGTATTGATAAGGCATACCCTGCCCGTTCCTTCAGTTTCTTATCTGTTATTCCATCTTTGGATACAAGTTTGTTAAAAACCAGAATGCCAATAACCATGTTCACCTGTTGAAAGAAAAACAACACACAGTTTTGTTCTCAGGTGGGACAGATCACACTCAGCAGTACAGAAGGAACAAAAGGGCAAGCTGAGCCCTTTTTTCTTCCCAAAGCTGAGTAACAATCACATCTCTGCAGGCCACCACCCCTCTTACCCCCTTACCATCCCACCTCCCTTGGGCATGAATCTGAGTTCAGGAAAGCTCAGAATGCAGCTGGCAGCAGCTCAGAGAGGTCTGCACAGGCCAGGACAAGGCTGTAAAGGGCTCAAAATGCTACAGGGCTCATAAAATCACAGAATCATTTGAGTTGGATGGGACCCTTAAAGGTCACCTAGTCTAACTCCCCTGCAATTAGCAGTGACATCTGCAGCTAGATCAGGTCAAATGTATGCTCAAGACTGAGCCAAACTCAAAGCATAAAACTATTTTTTTCAGGATAACACAAATTGAAAGTGGCCAATGCCACTTTCAGGGGAGAGAAGTGGCATGACACAATTTCAAAAGTGGTTTTTTTTAGAATCTGTGGTCCAAAAGCAGCAGCACTAATAGGATAGCGTGGTATGATCCAGATGGATAGTCATCATTCCTGATCAGTGAAGCACCACTGCTGCTCTCAGAATTAAGAGATGGAGAGGCACTTGAGTAAGCAGAAATATCAGCTGCTATGTTAGGATATCTTGAGAAAGACTGCAGATTGCACAGCTCATGGATTAGCCATCTATCCATTTCCAAGAAATTAGTAGTCAAAGCAACTTTACACCGCCCTTCGTTCTGCTTTGTTAGGGTAAGAGCACAGATGTCTGTATCAGTCAGGTATGAAATTCACAGGGAAATACAAGCTGTGCAGAGCTAAGGTCTTTCAAAGTGATGTTGAACTCCTCAGTGCTCCATTTTGATTCCATTCACCACTGCCAGCTGCATCTGTTTTACAAACCCCATGCAAACCTCAGCAACCTCTGAACATAACCACTTAAGTGATACACAAGCATCACCTCTTCCTACGGGCACAGTGCTGATGGTGGAAAAAAGTGACATTCTCCTGGTTTTGTTGCCAGTGAAACAGCTGGTGTTGGTAGAACGAGGTACTAGATGTACTCTTCTGCACGTTGTGCTTGCAAGGAAACAATTCAGATCAAATTCAGATAGATGTGATATTAGATGTTAGGTAAGAGCCTGGATGAGTTTAGAACACCCTTGAGAAGCAGTCCTAAGGAACAACTAATAGAATCACAGAAATTACTAAAGTTGAAGAAGACCACTAGGATTATCTACTCCAACCATCAAACGAGCAAAGAACACACAGCCCATGGGAAAGACATTTCTGCACACACTAAGCCTTCATCTAGATGCCAAAATCATTCTCAAGACTGAACAGCCCTTCTGAGTTTGCTCTGCTGATTTCATCAGGACACAACCCAGCTTTCTGATGTGGAGTCTACAGCTGGCAGCAAATGGAAGAGCTCCCAAATAGCAGTTATTTTCTTTTGTATCAGCTGTTGGGTGAGTGGAATGCCTTCCACAGCTGTCAGTCCATTTCTAGAACACACCATTGTTTTGTTTTATAGACACAGTGCTGGCAAGTCACACACAGTAACTCAGCCAAGGATCAGCAAGAAAACAAACCCCAGTTAAGTGCACACTTATGAGCACACTTGCAATTCACATGTCTTTCTTCACCATGCTGGAGGCTTCTGAGCATATGAGGTCCTCTTCTTTAAGGTACAATATGAGGTTGAAGTATTGCAGGCTGCATACCTACTAGGGTTTGGCACAATAGTCTTCGTCATCATTCATTTATGGCAGGAGAGATGAAGAACTGCAGCTCTGTAATTGCATCTCTGCAACAGGCTTTCAACCTGTGCATTATCAGGGTGCTTCACCTGAGTTAGAAGTGTAAAACCACTTGCAGCAGCCCTGAATTTAAATGTCCTGGGATTCTTAAAGTTAAAAGCATAGATGATAAACCCAGCTGGAGCCAAGTCAGCTGTGTGCGAAGTCATTTGGATGCCAACGAATCCTCAGAGTTCTGGGTGAGAAAGAGCTGCTTAGCTCAGGTGCAGAGCCAAGTCCCATCTTGTTCTGTGATCCTTGCACAAGAGCAGATGGATTATCTGGAGCAATCCTGCCCTGAGTAGTAGTACAGCTGCATATCCCTCACACTGCTTCACTGTCCTCATACGGGGCCAAGGTGGACTGACCCTCCATCTCTGACGTGGCCAACCTGAAATCAGGACAAAGCATGCACAAAGGAGACAACTGTCTGGTCTCATACACAGTGCATACTTGAGAACCGTGTATTCCACCCTATGCTCTGCTACAAAGCCATAGTGGAAGTTTTGTCAGCTCCGGTTTCCATTTATAAAAAAGTGTGCAATGCTTATTCCTCCTCCTTGTCCCCAAGTTCCTCAGGATTATAGGTACACTACCTCATACCTCTCTTGGGCATCATTTGCTTCTCATTTAGCTAGCAATGAGTCAGGTAGTATAAATGAGATGTATGGGCGCCTTCTCTAGGCAATGAAAAGAGACAGACACCTCCAGAGATGACTCACCACTTCCTAAAACCTTCTGTATGAACCAGCATCTGCAGGTGTTGACCTCACTGTAAGGTTATCTCCAATTCCATCTTTGATGATGAGTGAAAACAGAGATGCCAAATGGAAGCAGGGGAGGGAAAGCTGAAGGATTACTTCCCTTGTTGTTGGCACAACAAAAGCAAAACAGGCAGGAGACTGACTGCTCTTTCTCCAGGCACTACAATAGTTCACTCCCTTCTAATCACGGCTGTCTATTGAACACCCGAGCCACTGAGCCAGAGCTATCTGTTATTAGGTTGTTGAGCAAAGAGGTAGTTCATCTGAAAACACTAAGCCACTTAATGCTGCTGTCAATTATTCCAGCAATAAGGAAGACTCTAAGCCCATCAGCAACATTACTGAACAAAATCCGACTATCACATGCCTACAGAAATCTAATGACTTAGCATGTACATCTGCATATTCCCACTCTTTGCTGATGGCTATCCGAAGGCTCAGCTCTGTGTTGTATCAATGCTAAAGAATGACTCTAAGAGAGAAAAGCTTTGCTTTATTGTAGAAGAGGGGCAACTGATGACTTGTTTCTTTGACGTCATGATGACACCATGGTGGCTTGATGTGCAGTGACAGCAGTAAGAATAGAGGCAGCAAGAGGTTTTGTGTAGCTATTCTCCTGTAAGCCTGCTCCTGCTACAGGGCAGTTATCCCCCTCAGCACTGCCTGAAACAAAAAACAGATCCAAAAAAGAAACTGCAAATGTCAACAGTTCCATTCCTATGGGATTCTACAGGGCATATGAGACAAGACCATACAGCTCCTCCACTGGATAAAACATTGGGTTGGAGAGAAAAAACAGACTTCCACTTAGATGGGTCTACAAGTGTCATTAAATGTGTCTGCAATTGCTGCAGAAGGGATTTCCTAAAGGGACCAGCAGTTTACAAAGTCTTTGAACGTTGACAGTCAAGATTTCTCATGATCAGTGAGGCTTCAACAGCAGGGAATCTTGATGAGAGGTCTGTCATCACTTCAGTGACACCTTCAACTCAGATAGTAACTGACTGAGACAGGCTTTGGTTTTGGGTTAGAGCCAAGGGATAGGGGACAGGAGGACAGCAGGACAGAGTTAATGAATGCCTACTTGAACTACACCATTTCTGTGAACAAGAAGCAAACTTGATGTTTTTGGAGCCATAAAGGATCTCCGCAGCATTGTTTTTCAAAGACTTCCATTTCACTTGAGTGCAATGAAGCTATTCAAATTCCATGGACATCTGGGACAAATGAAGAATAAATGCTGTCAGTGGAGACCCTACTTGGTCCAAGAGCAGCCAGTAACAGTAGATTCTGAAGGAGTTAATGTCATAATTTTCCACCACCGTTCTGCACTTCCATCCAGATAGGCCAATAAAAAGCTAAAGCTTTATCCAGATGTCTAGGGAACTCCAGAGAGGACAGAGGTAGAAGGCTGGTTGCTGAGGTACACTGCATTTCAGACTTAAACCCATCCCAAATTGCTGGCTTCTAATACTCTGTGTTTTCTTCCTGAAGGAGAAAGTTATTAAAAACAAGAGTAGGAAGACAGAGAGACACTCTTGGGTTGAAAGAAGGAGGTAAGTGTTATAAAATTAAAAATGAAAATAAAACAAAGAGATTTCAGACATGCTCAAATACCAAAACAACAGCAGCAGCTGGTCCCACGAAGGCGTAGAGAAGACCTCCCTCTAACGACAGCCAGCAGCTGGAAAAGTAAGAAAGAAAAGAAAATTATTTGGTCGCTTGCACCACCATTAAAAAGATGCATGTTTTGCTGCCTTCCTTCGCCTGTGGAGTTGATCTCAGGAGCTAATACTCCACGGTAAAAAAGTCTCAGAATTTACAGCAAGTTTTGCATTTTGTTTCTCCTGCACTTGCACAAAGGCCCAGTTGCCCGGGGGTCTGCCCGCAGAGCCATGTTTGATTATCATTTGATTGTTGACAGAGGAATGCATGCAAAATTCATGCGATGCTCTGTTTCAGACCAGGTCCTGCTGGAAGCTACAGCATTACTTTGTGAGCAAGATAATTCTCTTGTCATGCTCGCTCAGGCAAAAGAGCAGATTTGTTCATTTGCTAACCAGTAGGCCTAGGGGGAGCTCGGGTCCAGAAGCATGGTACATTTCTGCTCCTGGATCCTCCCTCTGGGCTTGCTGCCATGGGGGAAATTTCACAGCTCAGCAGCAAGGTGGGAATTCACTGGACTGCTTAAGTGGATGTTCTTAAGCTGAAAGTGAGGTATTGTCATGCCTCCTTTGGAAACCAACATGTTGCTCCTCCCTCACATCACACAGCCAGAGAATCATAGAATGCCTTGGGTTGGAAGGGATCTTAAAGTTCATCTAGTTCCAAACTCCCTGCTGTGGGAAGGGTTGCCATCCTCCAGATCAGGCTGCCCATGATTCCATCCAACCTGGCCTTGAACATCTCCAGAGATCGAGAATCCACAACTTCTCTGGGTATCCTATGCCAGTGATTCACCACCCTCTGAATAAAGAATTTCCTCCTAATATTTAATCAAAATCTCTTTTCATTTCAAGCCATTCCTCCTTGTCCTATCACTATCAAATTTCCCCTTTCTTCATTGACTTTCTGTGGAATTTAGGCTCCTAATCTGCCTGGTGCCTACAGAGCCCAAGGGAATTTTCTCACTAAACACTGGTATCTATCATGTCAGTGCCTATTATGGAATCCAGGAGGCCTTGATGACATTTCTCTTCAGTGGAGATCCAAAGGAGTCTTTCACTGAACTCCACTGACTGCATTGACCAGACTTTCACCACTTGAATAATCACAGAATCATAGACTCGTGCAATCAATGCACCTAGATCAGATGGAGACCTCCCATCTCTCAGGTTAACACTATAAATGTGATACAGGAATCTCTATGGAAATTCTACTGCACTGTACATCCACATGCAGACCTCACTATGCACTGAAATCCCCATAGAATCACAAGGTTGGAAAGGACCTACAAGATCATCTAGTCCAACCATCTTCCTGTCACCATTACTACCCACTAAGCTACAAAACCATATCTTGTAGCACTTCATCCAGATGCTTCTTGAACACCACCAGGGACAGTGGCAAACCTGCTCTAAAGAAAAACAGATAAGAGAAATATCTGTTTTTCATCAGCTGAACGTGACAGGATGGTCAGGTAGACACTTTTCACGTTTGAACATAAAAGCAGGAAGGAAAAAGTTTTTTTTAAGGAAACAATTTTTTATTGTGAAGGTGATCAAGGAGGTTGCCTAGACAAGTGGTGGAGTGTCCCTCCTTAGAGATCTTCAAAATCCATCTGGACATTGTCCTGGGCAACTTCCTATAGGTGTCCCTGCTTGACCTCCAAATGTCCCTTCCAACCTCAACCATTCTGTGATTCTGTGACAGTCATGAACAGTTAAATCAGCACTGGAGCTGGATTTTCATTTCATGGGGAATGCAGCAATTTAGAGTATGGATACTTGGTACCTTAGAGCAAGAGAAGATGAGAATTCACACTATGTCAGCAACCCCATGGAAAGTTTGCATGCTTAGACATGGCAGTACCCTGGAGTTAATGTGCAATGGAGTAATCCTGTTTCAACAGTAAAGTACCATGCATTTACCAATGGATAAGAGCAGGAAACCACAATGGAACAAGGACTTCCTCAAAGCTCTTAAACCAGCTAACCCTGCAGTGATTCATTTATGTGCTCGTACTCTCAGCAATATCATTTCATTCTGCATCAAAAGAAACACTGCCTTTCTGACTTCTCCCAGGAAACAAAGCCTTCCTGGAGACATTTCAATTTTGTTGATCGGCTTCAATTGTTTTTGTATCAGACCTGACTTCCAACTATGTTATTTTTCACCTTAAAATTCAGAACATTTGGAGGAAAAAAAAAAAAACAACACAAAGCATTTCAAATTGAAAATTGAAAGCAGGATGTTCTGACTTTCTCCAAGTCCTGAATCCTGTTTATTTCTAAATTAAAGCTACCACATGTTAATTTAATCAATTCTGATTTCTTCCTGATAACAAGTTGCTCTCTGAGACACTGTCTGAGCAGGTGTAATAATAAAATGAATAATCAGGCATGGAGGGAGGAAATGGGAATACAGTGTTGGAGGGCTGTGATGACTGAAAGTCTTCATGAACGCAAAGACAGGACAGAGGGAGAACCAGGTGGGCTCCCAAATTGCTGTCCTTGCCCCCAAATCTTTTGCTTCAATGTTTAATCCTAACTTTAAGAACCTTTTTCCCGGAACCCTTGCAAGTAGAAAGGAAAGAGACAGCTTGCTTGGAGAAGGGAGCAGACAGTCCTGCATTTCAGTTAGCGATGAGGACATGGCAAAACGAGGGCTTTTATTCCCATCAGGTCCCCAGCAGCCCCTCTCCCCCCTCCTTGGGCTTTCTGAAGTTGGGTTCACACATCACCAAGCACTGGCCCTTATCCTTTCTGACTGTCTGATCTCCCTGTCACAGCATGTCATCAAAGTGTTTCCTTCCAAAACTGTCAGAAGTGGTGGCTGACAGCAAAGAAAGGAAGAAGTGGTATTTGAGAAGGAGAACTGACAGCCAACTCCAGTAACATGCTAGTCTAGTTGAGACACTTATATTCCTGTCTTTTCAAGGCACAAAAATATTTGCTTTTCACTAAGAGTACTTGCAAAGGGATCTCTTTGGAGATCTCTTAAACAAAATTACCATTGGAAGAAAGTGAGTAGTTTAACGATGATCAGCTACCATTTCCAAGCAGTGCTTCCCAGATTGACAGCAGCTCTTGAGTCCAATACCAAAGACCACCTCACCACACATCTGATTGTTTTGTGTATCATAATTGTTTGAGTTGGAAGGGACCTTTAAAAGTCATCTAGTTCAACTCTCCTACAATGAACAGCAGTATTTACAGCTAGAGCCATTTACAGGGTGCTCAGAGCCCTGCCCAATCTGACTTTGAATATCTCCAGGGACAGGAGATAATTCCAAGCACCACCTCCCTGGTCACCACCTCTCTGCTATGATAAAGGTGTGAGATGGAGGGTTTTTGCCCTGGTCCTGCAAAGAGCTGACTTCCAACAAGACCTTCTTGACTATGCCCCACAGCCCTGATGCAAAGAAGGACCCCTGGAAATTTGCTGTTTCCTGGCACTGCTCTTTGATAACAATTCCTATGAGCTCTCTTGTGGGGAAAGAGATGAATTTCAGCTACCTCAGTAGCACAACCTCAGTTGCTCAGTTCAAGCTTTAGCGATCCAAAGTCAGTCTCTGGAATACTGGTTAAAAGGCATTTATTAGTGTCTGATGAGTCCAAGGATACTCAAGGTTTACAGCACCTCTCCTATGAAAACAAGCTGGGAAACTTGGAGTTGCTCAGCCTGAAATAGTAAAGACTTTGAGGAGACCTCAAAGTGGCCTTCCAGTACCTAAAGGAAAGCTGGAAAGGGTATCTATCAGAGAGTACAGCAATATAGCAGGGACAATGGTTTTCAACTAAAAGAGTGGAATTCAGATTAGATATTAGGAAGAAATTCTTCACTATGAAGTGTATCTATTTGATTTTTAATTTGAATCCCTCCCCTCTACTTAAAAATTGGTGCCTGATCTGGCCAGCTGAAGTGTAGATGTTATCTCTGGTCTTCCCATGCTTAGAGCAGTCTCTGACTTCCCTGCAATATAACTTGGAGACGTGAGCAACCCTTCAACTGCTAGCATGTCTCAGTGGAGCAGGATTCCAGGTTACTTCTCAGTTGTCTGTCATCATTACAGAATAGCTTCACCCCATAGCTACATCCATCCTAGAATGCCTACAATGACCAGGACAAAGCTGGATGAAGTAGAGTTGGAAGAATTTTGAATGACAATGTAAAGCCCTTTGTGGGCCACCACATTAGCTCTTGTCCCTTTAGTTACAGAAAGGGACATGTTAAGGCTAATGTCTTCTGTTTTGTTCAGCAAAATGAAACCTTGAAGGTCTATTACTGCCCATATGAAATGCCCCCTGCATGCCCTATGCTAGTTAAAAAGTGAAAGAGCCTCTATTCTCCAGATCCAAGTTTTGCAATGACCACGCACCCTTTTGCAGTGGTCAGAAACCAAAATGATCCTGGAACAAGATTCTATTCTGTATTCTGTTTGTCTTTAGCGTTAAACACTGTTAAATCTGATTTCTTTGTCTGACCAAGTTTTCAAGTTCAGCTCTGAAATTACTGGTGTATAATATTGATTTCGTTCTAGTAGGAAGGTAAAACCAACGCATCAATATAAGAGAGCTTTTAAACCTCCTGAAGAGGAAAAAAAAAGAAAAGTGTGCTGCAGTGTAGGGTCACCCTGTATCTTGGTCTACTGATGTTTGCTTCATGTTTTAAGAACATGAAGCTCAGGTGCAAAGCTGCTCATAAACCAGCCTGGAGAAGCAGCATGTGCCTGTGTGTGCCTTGTAGCATGGAATCAGAGCAAGGACTGCTTAACAGGTGCCTGCAGCATGCTGCTTGGGATAGTGCTGGGTTTGAGTTCACTCTAAGATGGCTCTTGGTAAAACCAACAGCAGGAATCGCAGCAAGGCGTTAGTGCTACAAATGTGTGTCTGGAGGCTGTTTTCTGTGCTTATATTCTGCACATCATGGCAATAGGGACACAGCATGTACGCGGAAGGTTTTTCCTATGGAAAAGAGCTGAGTGCACATGTGCAAATTCACTGAGCATCTCATGAAGCCCTGCAGCAGTCATGGCTGATGAATCACAGGAACTTGCAGAGGAGAGGAATGGACAGGCTGGCTGGGAAAGGAGCAGTGTGGGAGCACAATGCAATGCCTGAGATACCTTCCTATTTCAGTGACAAGCACCCTGACAGCAGGGCTAAGAAATTGTGTTCCTGAGTCTGTGGCTCCTGCTGGGAGCACAGGATCCCCTGCCACTCCTGGGCAGCCAGCCAGCCAGCCATACAGGCAGAGAGGAAGGCAGCAGCCAGCCCCTGGATGCGAGGAGAAACAGAAAAAGGGCTAAAAGAATTCAGAAGACTGGCAGCAAAATGAGGAGCTGCTCTAGTTAATCATAGAGTCATTGAAGTTGGAAAAGACCTCTAGGATCATCTAGTCCAACTGTACACTTACTACCAATATTGCCCACTAAACCTGTGTACCCTGGGAATGAAGGAAGGTCAACGCACATCTTGTGGGACACCTCGTTGATGTGCCAATCTGAGAGCAAAGGAGCCTGGCAGGTTTTGTTATGTTCTGACACCCTTTTTGCTGCAGGCTGGGAGACTTTGTTCTGGGTCAGGAGGTGCTGGCATGCACAATTCAGGGCAGTGAGACAGGGAATGATCATCTGCACATTTCCTCCTTCCTTCCAAAGCTCTTTTGTGTTGTCTTATGCTAACTGGTGCTGCATTCATGGGAAAAGATCTACCAAGCTTTTAGCACCA